AACAATTAAAAAATAATTAAGTATTTTCATGAATATACAAAAAAATATTTTAAAAGAAAGCATCCGATGATATCAGTCTTATATTCATATAAATAATTTTAAATGACATTAAATTCTTTGTTTATCTATGACATTAAATTCTATGACAATCAACATAGCTCTGAACAATAAATTTCCTTCCACTGTGGTAACTAATTCAGGGGTTGGAACAATTATGCTTATAACCAATAATCTGGTAGGAAAAAGTCATCACTGCCACTTCTTCCAAGGCATCTACATCGATTGCGGATGCATCGTCCGATTCTATGTCCAGACCTTCTACAGTTTCTGTTACAGACACCGGGTCTACATGATAGAGCCGAACCAGCTTCATAATCGTAGTCTTGTGCGCTGGAAACTGTAAAAAATATCTTAATTAATTCGTAGTTCATATGAGCGAATGTAGCAGAAAACACTAAACATTTTTTTGTCTTAATTTATTCTTTCATTTTTTGCGTTCTAACAAATCTTTAGAGTATTTTTTAAGTCTTCGCATTTTACTAATTCATATAAGCTCATCGCACAAAAAATTAATTACACTTTGCGTAATCACTTAAAAGCTGTATTCAGATTTAGGATAAAGATAGGGCATGGGGAGTGTTTTTTTTTCTCTTTTTTTTTTTTGCTTGCCCTTTCTTCTTTACATTATAGATCTGTTGCTCACCAAAAGGTGGCTACTCTCAAGGATCAGCATGTTTATGTAAACATTGTGGGTAGAGCAGCGGTGGCTCGGGAGATAGAGCGTTTGTGATCCAGTGAGGTTATTCAGGTTCGAATCCCAGCTGCGGCGGTGTACAAATTCTGCTCCCTGCTCGCAACTGACCGCAGTTTTGACTTAAAATATTCTCAGTGGTAGACAGCTCATGGGTTAGAATCCCCTTTCCGTTGGACTAACAGTCATGGGAGGTTTTCGTGGTTTTTCTCTCCATGTAACGCAAATGCGGGTTAGCTCCATTAAAAAGTCTTCCACAAAGGTTTGTTCCAAGGCTAGTTTGCAAGCTAGTTTGCTCCAAGGCTTGATCTAGGAGTTGCAAAATTACAAGGCGTCAGAGTTAAACATTGTTGACAATCGTGGCAATCGTGTTGCGTGGATGGGTGTATATATATGTACTATATACATACAGGTCAGGAGAGAGTCCCCCTCTCCTGAGATGCTTTCGAGGTCACTGTCATTCATAGCAGCAGTACCATATTACACTAAAAACAGTTTTTACGATCCTACTTCAAGTAATGGCGATGAATGTTACATAATATTTGAACTATCATATAAACTGGTTAAGTCAAATGTTAGCTGAATCTAACGATTGCTAACCTGATCCACACTCACACTAGAAACGTTTTTTCTTTCTTTTTGCTCTGTTGCTCTGATGAAACTAATGATTCAACAGATTTTTACAATTTATCCTTCGTATTATTCGATGGACAATTATTTAAATTGACATATATGAATATAAAAATACTTCTATTGATTCATTTACAAGGATAATTAGCCATAAAATAAAGTATTAAAGATAGGATTTTAATTGGATGCTGTTATTGCCATTAATAGTAGAATATCAAAGCTTTCTTCATCCATGTAAAGTCTGCCATTCCGCATGTCTGAATTACTGTTGAAAATATTGGTTGATGGTAAACGTTTTTTATTGTGAAAATTCGTTTAAATTTTTATAAGTTGTTAAACTGAATAATACTTCCAGGAAAATTAAACCTATTTTACACGTAAATATGTTACAATGCAGGGGTTGTTGCAAAAAAAAAATTAAAACACTTCTATACTGACACATTTCTTGATCTTTTTCAAAAATTACTTCAAAAATCATTTTATAAATCTCGAAGTGTTTAGGTTATGCGATTTCTCAAACTTATCAATGAAGTTTATAGTTTTTAGAGGTTTGAGAGACCAACAATAAATTACAAACGGAAAATAGCATTTTTGAACGCTCTTTGTGAAATGTAGCTCTCTCTAAAAAATGTAGCAATAAATTTGTATCTTGTAACAAATATTTTGGTTATTGCGTGCAATAATTGAACAAAATTGCGTAAGTCTAGCTTAAATATTTTCGAAAATATTTATATTTTCATGAAAATAATTTTTTTTGTCTCACGTTTTTTTTTTGTTGCTATAATTTTAAAATTATCTAATAAAATTAATCAAAATTTTTGGAGCAATTTAAAATTAATAAAAAATCACTGTTTCAAAATTGGAAGAAATTTGTTTAAAACTGGAAATATGAGTAATTAAAGTGGTTCTTTTATACTGCTCATGCGCTGGAAAAAAAATCAATTTTTTATTATTTTTTTCACTTAATTTTGTAGTGATTCGTATTTAGCAATTAATAAAAAAAGTTAGATTTTAATCTAAAATGTTTCAAGCAATTTTCTTATTTGCTTTCGTTCTCTCTAAAAGAAAGCTCAAAATGATAAGGGATTTTTCATACATTTCCTTTTGTAATATGAAGCACAATTTATTAAAAATGACACCGGCATTATTGGGGATCATCCCCCATAAAAGCATCTTTTTCGCTTGTTTTCTCTTCTTATACAATCATATTTTGGTATATGGACATTTATTGTTAGGTATTATCATTTGTTATTTAATTTTCTCTTATGATACAAAGTAATATTTTTAGAAAATCCCTTATTTTGAGTTTCGTTTAAAAAGTACAAAAGTTACTTAGAAAATTGCTTGAAACTTTGTACATTTTTAAGATATTCAAATCAGACTTTTTCATTGTATGCTAAATTCAATTCACTACAAAATAATTATAAAAAAAGATTGCTGCATTTTTCGGCACATGTACCGTATAGAAGAACTATTCAATTTACTTTTTGCACAGTTTTCAACGAATTTTTTTTAAATCATAAAGAAAATAATTCGTCATTAATTTAAAATTGCTCTAAAAATTTTGTTTAGTTTTTCAATTTTTTTAAAGTTACAGCAAACAGGCGTAAGACAAAAATATTAGTTTTCTTTAAAATAAAGATGTCCATATCTTCATAAATATGACCAAAATTGACCGATGAATTTAAAAATCAGTTGATAAAACGGAAGAAAATTGAAATGCCTGATTTGCTGCGTTCTGCTTGCAAAACAAAGTATTTTTTCCCACTACCGTTCAAAAATAGTTCCAAGTACAAAGTTCGTTAACAGATGGCACTGCTAACTGAGAAAAACCATTAAATATTTTCAAAATAACCACAATTTGTTGTAAAAACAAGATATAATCTGAGGAGAATATTTCAGTTGAAATGATCTTATATATAGCAGTAAACAATGTTTTATAGTTTTTTCTGTTAAAATCACCATTTGTCAGTGAAATTTGCCACTATTGTTTTAATTTTACGAGAATAAATCATTTTCTTTTAGTTGAGCGTAGCAAACAATGCACTTCTTTCTCTATCGCTTTTTCTTTAATAAATCGTTTTTTTTTTTCATTTTTAAGATACCTGGCAAGCGAGTATGCATGTAAATAANTGGCAAGCGAGTAGCAATCTTATAAAATTTATTATTTATTATCTAAAACACTTGCCACTTTTATTTCACGCCATAATAAAAGGTAATAGCTGTTTCTTTCACCCAATAATATTTCGAATATAAATGGTAAAGTAGTTATTTTTTAAACTTGAATGAAAGTTTAAATTAAAAAAAGTATTGGACAAAAAACATGCATAACATATGCATAATAATTTGAATTATATTTACCTAGCACTAGACACAAGACCAGCAAGGAGTAAATAATAAGTTTATTCATGATTTCATGTGTTACAAATTTGATACATCATTTAGTTTTTATACGACTCTTAACAAAAATCACCCTCTAATGCATGCTGTATCATTATCTATTGTTGCAAGTTTGCTGAGTACGCAAATACTTTCACTTTTAGAAAACAGTCAATAAAATTAATTTGAGGTCTAATAGAATGTGTAGCAAACGCGAAAACAACAAAATGGCGGACATTATTGAGTAAACTCTTACGACAGATAGATGAACGCTTTATATTATTTACGTTTCACTCAGTAATTAGTGCCTTAATGAATTATTATAAAATATAAATCTAAAGCACTTAGCATGGTGAAATATTTTTAATTAATCCAAAATAATTCATAGAAAAAGGAGTTTTTTAAAATTTAGAAATGATATAAAAGTATTCCACTAAAACAAAAGAATGGATAATTTAAAAAAAATATATCTATAAAAAAAATATTTTCTTATCATTCCGTGGTTGTAATTATTGATAACTAACTTCTTTTTAAATTTGACTTTCCTGTTTTTCATACTTTTTTTGTCCTGTTTTGCATACATTAAATGGTAGTGAGTTCTCATTCCTATTTTGATTTACTAATTTATTTACTCTTTTGCATTTTGATTATTTTATATTTTTCGTTCGTTTAAAAACATTTCTTTGTGTAAGTTATTATGAAGTAAAAATTTCGAGTTCTGGAAAATACTTTAGAGTAATTTCTTATGGATTCCTAAACGTCAATAAATCATATATATTTTTTATCGACTCAAATTCCATCGGAATACAAGAATAAATATGTTTGACGACGCGGAAAAAATCTTAAATAAAGAAATATTTACTTTGGACTGTATTTTCACAAATTTAAGAAAACATGACAGTGGGAAGCCAAATTATTTCTTATATCAATTAACACAAACATGGAACAATGTTGGAAATTTCATTGTTTCTTTAACTATAAAATATAAAGTAAGGGATGGTTATCTCATATTTTTGTTTCTAATTCTTATGCTTATTCTGTTAATATGCAAGAATATTTTGAGAAACAAATAACAATTTTTATAGGGTAACATGTTATCTACATGATTCCATTTTTTGGATCGTGCTTCGTATCAAAAATTTTTTATATTTGCTGAACTAGAAAAAAAAAACTTATTAAGACAACTTATTTCTTCCAAGGGTTAGTTAATCACATGCATTTTAAATAGCTAAAAGTCTTGAAAGTAATGTTTAGTTTTTATTCACAAATAATATACAATGATAGCAGCAATTAGGTACCAATTAGTCAGAATCGCAGTTTTGGTATACATTAAGCGAAGATTTTGGACATCTCATGCACTGTTTATGATCCTGTCCTTTAGATTCCATACACAGAATCAATTTTTCGTATGCGCAACTTATTGAATATGGTTCTACACAAACCAAACAAAAACATTTTTCTTCATCACTTATTGACTCGCAAATTTTGACCCTCTTCTTTTTGGCTCCTTTATTGCCAGTTGTCTTTGTTTGGAGATTTTTAATACATAATCTTTCTGGAACGATCCCAACTACATCACGCCCTTCTTCTTGAGTTTCTTTTTGGCAGTAACGAGCCATCGTCTGTTTATTTTTACAAAAATAATTAATTGGCATTCGAATGGTTATTTATTTCCAACGATGCATTAAAATTTAAAAGCGACGAAAAAAATCTCTTAAAAAAAACTTATTTTTGATACAGCTATGCTTTAATACTACGAGACTGCCGAAACGGGACGATTTTTTGTTTGAAACTTTTAGACCTTATTTTAATTTCAGTTGTGTCGAACGATTCATCAAAATCACTCCAAGTTTTCCACTCTACACCTGAATCATCTCCCTCGTCACCGTCCCGTTTTCCTTTGGCATACATTCCATTCAAGTTCGCTGAGTGGCATGCGTTATACCACCATCCACCACTATAGAGTGAAGCACAATTACCATCTTCTAACAGATCATTGTCTACATCTTTCGTCGAGAACTTCATGCCATTATGGTCAGTCATACAATCACCTGAAAAAGAAATTACAATGTACCTTCAATAAAGCCTTCAATCACCTTCAATAACTTTTGATCAAATGATCATGCGCTAGGACTCAATCTTATTAGCTTGAGGATTTAAGAGGCAATACACCCACAGACCGAACTCAACTGTTGTAAGACTGGAGACAGGGAGGGAAATTCAAAATAGTTTTTTTAAATTCACGTTATTTAATTTTCATAATTAAACCGATGATGGATATTTACTTTCTTTAGCAGTATCTTTCGATATATGTGAAATACAGGGCCGTCACTCAATCACAATATGAGATATATAGCATGCAGTACTTCGTATTCTCTATGAATATTTTCACCCAAAATTGTGCCGGTACAATTCCGCAATTAACAGTTTTTGATAGGTAGTTAAAAAATGTACAGTTGCCTGATTTTAAATTTTTGATAGTAATTATGGAGACTGGTTTTGTTTTTCACTCTGGGCTATGCGTATGTGTGTAGGCATTAACCTTGAACGGGCAGATGGCTTCATGGTTTTAGAGAATGAAGAGCTCGCGGAGTTTAAATACTCAATTTAATTATTCAAAGTTTAATTATTTTCATCGTGATTTGCTCTTTAGCAACCCTTTAATAAGTATACGTTTTCGGTTGCAATTTTGAAAAGAACTCGTAAATTAGATAGTAATGCTGGTTCATAAGAAACACCCTGCATGTTCTGTAATGCACGATAGTATATGATAAAATACAAAAAAAAATAAATGTAAATATATATTATTAAAAAGAGATGAAATTGATATACACCTGCATTTCCACTATAGTCTCTAATATGTAAAGTATAGTTTTGTGTCTCGTCATCAATCCAAAATACATCATACGCTGCGTATTTTTCTGCTCCTTCAACGTCTTTCAAATCAAATCGAATGGAATAGAGATTTTGATTTGTCAAGGAAAATATATTATCATTACCTAAAATGATTTAAAGCGTTTTAGAACTATATTTGTATAAAATATATTTACAGTAAAATAATAGATGCTTTATACAACTAGTGTATTTCAATATTTTTAAAAATTAACAGGATAAAGAATATTTAAGAATATTTTAAAAATTGAAAGCGCAGTTTCCAAAAATTATAGCCAGTTGGTCCTCGATGATTTAAAACTTAAATTTGAATAAATTGAGAAAAATATAAGATTCATAAGATTTTAAGAGAAGAATATAAGAGAAAAATATAAGATTTATAATATAAGATATTGAGATAGTTAAAAATGTAATTTTCGTGACTGGAATTGTAATGAAATCATGTATACAAATTTATATTAATAGTAATTTAGTCTACGTAGTCTTAAATTTACTAGAATTTTTTTATTAATTCCATGTTCAAATATGCTTTATTCTCTTCGGATTTGTAAAAATATATATTTATTAAAGCGAATAATACAGACAGAAAGGCGCATCTAGCATGTTTGTCAATTTATTACATGCATGAAACACCAGAACAAAATATTTTTAATACCTAACCAGAAATCTTTTTCAATGTGGCCAAAACCAGTTTTATAGTTTAACCAATCCTGATAAAAATAATCCTCTGGTCTCTTGAAATCTCCTCTTCTTTGAATGAGCTGAAAAACGAATTAAAATCGTATGAAATTAAAAGAGATATTGAACAAACACAAACACTAAAATGAATATGGAGGTCAAAGCAATTCAGATTATGTTTTAAACATCACACTACTGCACAATCTACAAAAATTAATAAATTATTAATGAATGTATCATTATTTATTATGTTTACGACAAACACGACTTAAAAAGTGAGTATTAGCAACTGGAAAAAGAATTAGGCTGTCCCTAATTTTTTCCGACAAGTACACAGAATGATTGGGCTGTTATGGCAACTCATATTATTGATTATTCATTTTATTGATTTAAAAAAATTTCAAAAAATGATAATAAATGTTTAACTCATGAAAAATTAATTCTTTGCTACAGATTAATAATGATCCGTGGTGGCCCAGGCGATAGAGCACACGCCTCCCAATAAGTAAGCCGAGTTCAAAACCTAGCGATGGCTGGTTGATACTCTGATACTCTGCTTTCAAAAGGTTTTATGACGACTTTGAGTCATCTACAGTAAAAAATTCCGGATCAAATTACAGTAAGAAGTACCGACACTCAAGATGCCGGTACTTTTTACCGGAACATGTTAGGGAATAAAAAAAACTGATCTACCGTAATATTTACAGTATTAATCATACTAAAGTTACCGAATCAGTCGAATTAAATAAACATTACTGTAAAATTTAGGGTAAAAAATTTTGAAGTAGAAATGGAATTTAAGGTAAAATTAATTTTAAGGATGATACACCCAAAGTGCTAATACTTTAAACCGTAATTTTATCCGGAATTTTTTACAGCTACTATCATTTTCGCTTCTACATGCATTATTAAATGAATGAATAAACAAATAAAGTTAACATTTCTATAAACAATAATAAAAGGCTAAATACAAACATCGTTACAAAAATACTCTCTTTCTTAAAAATATCGATTCATAAGGAATAAAATAAACTTACAGTCCATCCTCCTCCATCTGTGTCCATATCGCAATAAACTTGTAAGGATTTTCTTTCCATGATTCTGCTTCTAGGCCAAATCGTATAAGATCCACTGCGATAATTTCCAGTTAAAAGTAACTCTTCACAGTCCACGGGACCCGACGTAAGATTTAACTTCACAGTTGGACCTAAAAAAAAGGTTTTTCACTGTCCATAAGTCATTTTTGATTCACTTTTTTACCATAGATTCCAATTTCGCCTTCCCAAGTTGTAACGTCTAATTTATTTCAAAAAATTAAAGGAAACTAATGACATGAGAACCTGGTTTATCAGAAAATGTGATAACCATTTATAACAAATAAATGTTAAGTCGGTAGCTTTGTTTTTGAAAAAGAAATTCAAAAATTTTAATTTTTATGTTTTTATACGTTCGTCATTATTATTACTAGTGAAATAAAATTTGAGAATCAGGGGTTCTACTTTTGCTGGAAAGGAGGAGTGTAACTGTAATTCAAGAAAATATAAAAATGCTAGTTAAATTTTCTGCTTTTCGTAAGGCGATAATGTAAGTAATCAAAAAATCGGTATAGAATAGCATTTAGAAATCATACACAAAATTGAAATACATGTACCAACATAAATTTTTAAGGCTAAAATAATTCCAATTTTTTAATACTTATTATTATTTGTTGCTCTTTCCGGTAGCTTTACGTTATTAGTTTAAGCAAAACACGTTTGTAGAAGTTCATTCTATAAAGAAAAGATTAACTATATTCACTTGGCATATTGCTTTATCTCGAGTCCAACTGTTGTAGTCAACATTAATCACAATCATGAAACATTAGGTATCATGGTAACAAAACTCAATTTCTTTTTTTTAAACATAAGAAATACAAATTTGGTGACGTAATCTGCATATGCTACCATGTACGCATTGTTCACTAAGATAATGTAATAGAAATTAAGTATTACAGAAATTAAATATTACAGAACGCGCAACAAAACTAAGTTTTTGATTAGATCTAACAAACATCCCTGGTGTTTCATCTAATATATTTGGAAGGTAAAAAAAAGCAGAATTTCCATAGTTTAATTCAAAATAATGGCTTATTTTAAACCAATGAGAAAATTACATTTTTAAAAGTCTCCCCCGAGCGATCTAATTAAAATTTTTGAGTAATTTTTAGGATCGAGAACTGAAATTTTTCTTCTCATCCGCTGTTTAAATTTCACGATAATAGGTTCTGGAGTTATAAGAGAGATACAGACTGACAGATTTTTTTGAAATTTGCTCTGAGTGTTTTAATTATTTTTCATTAACATATTTTTAAAAAAAAAAATTAAATTACCTAACATTAATAATTTCAGTTATCAGTTTTATAGGATTCCGCTCAATATTTAACTATACGACCGACTTCAATTCTGTTATATTCTGTTATTACCTGGAATTACCCTTGAGCATGTTGTTGCTGATGCATATGCCAATTGCCAATATTAGCAAGCCTGCTTGAAATCAAGCGAATTCTTAAGGCATAGGGCGCACTTCTTGTTTTTAGTGGCGCCATCTATGGTCAAGAATATGATTTTGCCACACACATACGTCAGAATCCGTTTAACAGGGAGGACTCATTCACACTGCTTTTATCCTTCCGCATATCGAAATTTTTAACCTGAACCAGAGAATAATCAATCTCCAATTTAGTAACCTCAGGAGTATTGATTTGTTATGGAAACTTTAAGTATATTGTGACGCCAACAGATTTAACGTGCAGTAGTCACCATTCAATATACGGGGATTCTTCGACCGGCTGGATTAGATGTCCTGTTCCTACGAACACGAGTAAATAATAAGGCTATAACGGCCACGACCCTTGGAAATAATTTATTCTACCAACTGTGCAAGTTTGAAAAAAGTTTTCTGCATACTAGTATTGTAAAATATTGTTAGTGAAAAATACTGACTTACAGATTGGATAGTTATCTTTTGCTTTCTCAATCATATACTCTGCAACATCCAAAAATGATGAAGCTCCTCCATTGTTATCACATTCTATTCGTGTGTTTCTGCCTTTGCTCACTATCACCAAAGTAACTAATATCACTGCAGCTTAATATAAATAAATAAGAAAGAATTAAGTTATTAAAAAGTCTACTATCTCAATAATTATTAATTTTACTTACATTGTAAAAAGTTTTGGTGTATATATAGCTGCCACTATTTTAGAGTTGAAGTTAAATGCATTTTTATGTACAGAACTGTGATTATCGTGCAAAAAATTAAATAAAACTGACAGAATAACAATTGCTTGAAAGAATTAACGCAAATATATAACTAAAGATGTGCTTGTTTTTTAAACGAATTTTTTTTGTAATGAAGCAGTAAATTCATTTAATGCACATGAAAATCTATGTTGCCAGTAACTACACAAACAAAAATCGAAATAAATAAAATTATAACACCTTGGGAGCATCAGTAATAAAATTAATTTCACCGTAAAATTCATTTCCCGTAAAGTTTTGTACCCTATACTTAACAGTAATAATTATTTAATTATATTTATTACTTGATTTTACAATAAATATTACTGTAAGAATTAAGGTATAATGAGATTTTTTGTTTCGTTAAATTTTACGATCGAAAGTACCAGCACTCTGGGTGTTGTTTTTTTTCCCGCAATTTGATCCGTAATTTTTTGCAGTATATGAGCATTATCTTATATGATTTTTTACGCAGTACTCTAATTAATAAAGTTTATAAAAAAGTACGTAAGTCAATCAAGTGTTTTTTTTATATTTACCCGATACCAGGCAAACGCTTATGAGAAAAACAAATATCAGCTTATTCATGCCTCAATTGTGAATCAACACAGCAGTAAAGAAAAGGCTTTTATACTAAAATGATGCAAAGACTGACACAAATTTATACTTAACTTATTCCTAACTGTTTGTTGAATTCGTGGAACATTTCACTTTGTCTAGAATTATTGTACTCAACTGAAGGACACTTCAGCATCGGTGGTTTCATTTCATAACAGCAAAACATCCGATTGACCTGATTATTTTGAAAATCCTTTTTACCTAATAGTTTTTAGTAAAACAAATTTGATATTTATTTTCAAACAGCTATTTGTTGCTAATTTACAAAAGCCAGCGTTACTAGGTAGAAATTTGAATATGAAGTTTATCAAATTCTAAAACCAAATATATCAATCTTGCTATTTTTTAGGCTAAATTATAATGTTATAAAATTTTGGACTTCCCTTCATTATAAAGAAGTGAAAATTAATCCTTTTTGACTTAAATGCATGATACTAAGATTCGATTTCAATATAATAAGGGTTCAATTGTATGTTTGAGTGTACTGTTTTTAATATTTTTAAAAAATAAATATTTACAGCCTTTTTGAAACTAATTTAAATTTCGCAAATACACTGAAATTTTATTTTACTATTATATATTGATTTTGAAATAACAACGAAAGTACCCCATATTTAACGTGCTAATTGGATACTTGTAACTAATTGTTTGGTTGTATCTAATCATGTTTTTGTGCATGGCGTGTTAACGTTACAGCTTTAAGATTTATTATCACGCAGAATCAATTTTCGAAACAGATTTAATTGAATAACTGCAAGAGACGTTACACCTGTGTTGAAACTGGTTGCCTGGCCCACGCTTAGCTTTACTCCTTTAGTTATTGTTTTTGCAAAAAAAGAAGGATTTTTTACAGCAATTTGTGGAGATTTATAAACGCATAAAGAAAAAGAGATAAAAACTAAATAAAACAAAATTATGACTATCGACTACAATACGACAACTTATAAAATTATCTTCTTTTTTATGTGTTTATTTATTTTTTTTTTTGTCAAATCATTATGAGATTCAATTAATGTCAAAACACTTTAACCGCGAATAAAAAAGGAAAACGAAGAATTTGTCATCATCATACTGCCATTTTTCCTACATTTTGTTAAAAGAAAATGTTCTGATATCTTTTTTTTCCCGTATCATTGTGATATTTTAAATTAACTCTACGAAAGATAGACATAAAACAAGTCAAATTCATTGTATCATTTATTACACAGATAAAATTACAGAAGATTACTACGCGTAAAATTATACTTATGTCTTTACTGATTCAATAAAATTGCCCAACGTTTAATTTTGCAATTGCAAGTTCGTTTGTCCTCGTCTATTTTTTAATCATTTTCATTCATTTCATTCTCCAGATAGTTTTAGAAATATCATTTAGGTTTTTATTCGATTATGAACAGAAATTCTTTTTAAACGTTGTGTCAAAATATTTGACAAACCAGTGTAAAAATAAATCTATATCGATTATTCACTAAATTTTTCTCAATATTAATAAGCATATATTTAAATTAAAGATAAAAGAAAACAACAATAAAGTAGTTCTCGAGACGTAAAAAGAGAAACATTTTGTTATCCGAGCTTTTTTTTTTTTTTAAAAAAAAGAGAAAGAACAGCAAAAAGACAACAAAATTATAGTGTAGAAACAAATTTCCTGGCCAACACGGGTTTTGAATTAATGTTTATTGGCAGAATAAAGTATAAACTTTTTCGGGCTGTTTTCTGTAAGTTAGGAACACATTTATAACAGTTTCGCTTTTTCTTTTATTTTTATTATTCAGATCAAAATTCATGCGGAAATATAGAAAACTATTCAAGTAGCTGCAGTATAAAATAAATATTTAATATCAACTTTTCAAAAGCTATAGAGAAAGTATTGCGAATGTTTCATGTTATATAACGTTGTTGATTCTTTATGAGTGTGAGGATAAAAAATGAATGTAAATAAAATATAGGTAAAAATTTTTGTAACTTTTCTAGATGTTAACGTGAGAAATTCAAAAAATTAGCAAATTTATTCATTTATACCTTTATTTAAATCATTTGAAGTGCGAATATGTAAAGAAAAATATCTTCGATAAGAGCAAACATTCGTATAAAACTGCAGAAGGTCAGAAACACATTGGATACTGCATGAAAATTAGATTACAATTGTAGTTGTTGTTTTTTTTTTGTCTTCTTTTAATCCTATACGCAAACGGAATTAATGGCAGTTTTTTTTTCTCTCTTTTTCTTCTTTCTTTCTTTTCTTAAATTTGTTCTACGCTTTTAAACTTTTTCTTCTTATAAATATAACTGTCGTTGAATAGCCGACACAATATTGAACTTACTACTATCAATGTTCCACTTCATAGCCTTCTAATTTTGGCCTAATCCAGAAGACAAGGGTACTCCTGGATCAAGTATTAAGAGAAATTTGTCTCAGTGGAGGACTTTTTGATGGAAATGCAACGAATAAGCTACGTTAAAGAGACAGTTCTTTTTCTATATATAACAACACATTCATTTGAAAATCCCACCTAAACTAAGCATAACTAAATTAAAACAGCGGTAACCGGTTAGTAAAAACCTTGAAAAATAAATGGAAAAACCCGTGATTGGTTAGTATAAACCTTAAATTCAAAGCAAAAACTATTCTCATCAAAAATCAACGACTCCCTGATGTTTCCTACATTTTCTTGTTATTTTATTTTTAATTTATCTCCTTGTATGTATTTTTTATTCAAGCTTTTTTTAGCCAGATATTTTTAGACTTCATAGAACTACTCTGTATTTGCGTTACATGGAGAGGAAAACCACGAAAACCTCTCACTGTTAAGAACTACGGAAGGAGACTCTAACCCATGATCCGTCTACCACTGAGGATATTTTTCGTTAACACTGTGGTCTTTGAGAAACCGGATGCGAAATTCTTGTCGTTGGAACTCGTGTTCCAGTTGTCCTCTTAGGGAAGTGAGCACTCTATCCCCTAAGCCACCTTAACTCCTGTTTTTAAATTTGTGTTTGTCTGACGAAACATGAAATGGACTTTATTTTTTGATATCTTATTGATGTTGTTTAGTATTTTTAAGATCAGCGCCATGGCAAACAAATCATCCTGATATAGGAGCAAACAGAGGAAGAAAAACATTATTGTTTATTATCATTGTAACTTACAACAATAAGTGATGGGTCAAATAAGAGAATGGAATAATAATAATAAGAATAAAAAAAAAAAACAATTTTATAAAATGTGGAAATGACAATTGACAAGTATAATTTGTTAGTTTTAGGTTCTTTTAGCAGTTTCTTTAATTTACTTTTACCATTAAAATAATCTGAACGATTTTTAGGGGATCTAGAGCTCTGATATATTAAAAATAAAAAAAGTATTATATTATTTCGAAGACTTCAAACTTTAAAAATTTATCGGAATTTCAAGTACATTAAGAAGTTTGGGAAAAATTATCATAAGAACTATTCAGTACAAAAGTTTATTAATTTAAATTATTTCATTAATTATTTCATTAAATTATTTCGTACTTAAATATTTTCTTTTAACCAATCACCAAACAGCAAGCAAATGCTTGCCTTTATTTTACGCACTGTAAGCTACAAGCATTATTTTACGTAGCTTTCTTTCCACAACTAACTTTAACTTCGATTTTGTCTGCTTAATGTTTGTTGTTGTTTGGGTGTGTTTATATCTGAGGGGAACCAGTATATAAAGAAATATGCTCTTTTTTCTTAGAAATATTGTGTTAAAATCTTCTCAAAGTAATAAAAGTATAATTCTTCCAAGAAGATTTCGTGTTACGACAGAGACTGGTGCTTTTCATCCAGAACCAAAGAAAACGAATTTTGGTCTTGTTCGTGTGTTGTTAACTGTGTTACCAGGTTTATATCTGGGTGCTACAGTAAGCAAGGAAGGTGCGGCATTTTTAGAAGAAAATGATATTTTTGTTCCAGATGAAGATGATGATGAAGATTAAACCCTTTCCTTTTTAAGTTTCTAGAATAGAGTAGACAACTCCTCCATGCACTACCCTCTACTAAATTATGTCATTGTCCTCGACCATCCTTTGATCATTAGTACTGATATTGAACTTTTGAATATACATGCATGAAACATCGATATAAGTTTGTAAAACTGATTTAGTAAAGTCGATTTTCTGGAGTTTAGAGGCTGAAGCCAGTAAGAGCTGGCGCTAATACCTCACTTTAAGAGTGAGGTATAGTGGCATGGTAATGATAGGTAAGAATTATTCAACATATTTATGTCACCGAAATATACTGTTAAGTCTCTGTGTTTCTTAACCACAAGAAGATTTGCCTACTGTTATCTGCAACCAAAAGGGTTACCAAACTTAAGCAAAACAGGGGTGATAAATTAAAGAAACAAGACCCTTGTTGCAAAATCCTCGAATTAGAGGGGAAACAACAAAGCACCAAACTTTTTTTTTAGTCAACAGGATTAAAAAATTTTTTTAATCTGCAGAGAAACTCCTTTAAAGAAAACTTGAGGGATATTTCCTTATCGTGATCTGTCGCACCAACTACAATTGCCATGGTGCCAAATAGATTTTAAACTTGCAAATTTTGAAAAAAAATGAATTGTAGATGTTTGCTCAGGCTTGGTTACGAGTTATACCTCTCGAGTTGGTCACTTTCTATGATGTTTAGTTTAGTTTCTTGCGGGCCACTGCCCTGAAGTTTCCAAGACTTGGCGATATTCTGCCACAGATAGTGATACAGAAATTTCCCCAAAATTTGAACCAACACTGAATACTGCATACAGTGTATACATATACAAAGAAAGAGGAGGTTTTTTCTCTTCATGTCAGTATCCAATCGAAGGGAAAGGTTACGGAAGATTATGACTGTTTCTTCCCCCTCAAGTATGATTGATAGGCAATCTTTTGAAAACAATTCTACAGAAAAGAATCTTTCATATGAGTTTTTGCAGAACAACATTTGAGCTGCAAGGAAAACTTACATATTTTGTTTCTCAAAGCAAGGGTCTGTCCAGGCTGAATTTACTACCGTTTAGCGATACCTTCACAAATTCAACTTTAGGAAGAACGGTAGTTTCAGAAATTCAATTTTAGGAAAAACAGTAGTTTCACAAAATACTTTTTCTTGGAATTTTATTTTTGTATCCCTTAAGAAACGATAAATCCATATTTTTGTGTTGATTTTTTAATATAATTTTTAATTTTTCGCAAATTATGTCTAAATTTTCACAAAGTAGGTACCTCTCAGAAAAACCTAGATAGACCCCTGCAAAGAAAAGGTTAACTGCGAGAACTCTAAGGTTCTGCTCCAATATTGCGGCAATTCTGCCACGAGGATGATTTATACATTGAGACAGATACAATATTTAGTTTAAAAAAGTTATCACTTTTAGTTAGTTGAAGGGGGAAAAAATGGTTATTTTCATATTGGTATTCATTCCTGAGAGATGCAATCCCTAAAATGTTACTGCACTTCCTCAAGCTTTTAATTTTTTTTTTTGAATTACTCTTATGCCTGCTTGGTTTGTCCTCAAAACATTGTGGGAATTTTAACACTAGAATTTTCATTTGGTACTCTACTAAAAAGAAAATATTGTTATTTTCATATAAGCCATTGCATTAATTCAATTTGTACTTTTAACGTCGCTTAAATAAAGCAACGGTACTTAAATGAATGCACTATGTTTTCAGATCTATTAACAAGAACAATGCCTTAACACAGAATGGCTGTAAATAAATAATGAGACAAATGCATTGAAATATGTTGTTCAATCAGAAGGGAGGAACAGGGTATAATAATTCTACAGAAAAAAAGAAAGAAAAATTATTTGCTTTTATATTTTTTTCAGCTATTTTATTGCTTCAACTCTTTCTTTACTCTGTTTTTTAAATTTAAAATCTATAAATATGAAGATGCTGAGTATAACAGTTTTGGTTATACCTATGATTTCAATGAATGTTATTATAATGCTTTTTTTAAACTTATGGTTGTGTTTTTGTCGGAGAAAATAGTAACTTCGTTAAGTCATGAAAAATTATTGGAATTAGTCATGAATTTAAAAACCTAAAATGTAGCAGATATCCTGTATAAACTGGATTACACATGGTAAAATTTTATGTTTCCTATCTCACTGTTTATTTGTTGACACTATTATTTTTCTGTACAATATAAAGATACTATATTATTCTAATATAACATGCATATTTTTTTTCTTCAGATTATTAAGAATAAATGATGAGATTTTTAACACAGAAATTGAATATCCTTTTTGAACTTTATGGTAAGAAGTATTATAATAATATTCCCCAGTTGTTTTAGGTTTTTCTTAACTATTATACATACATTAATGCTAAATAGAATACCTTATCTTTACCCTTAAACTTTGACTTAAAAGTAAAAATTATGTTAAAAATCAGAACATTAAATCATCCCCCATCATCTTGCATAGTTGAAATTTAAATCTAAGATTTGAGTTTTCTTCTAATGAAATCATTCAACACTATGGACTTTAATCTTTCCCTGTTCTGAAAAATTCAAATAATTTCGTTAATAATGGTCTTTTAATCTTTTGATGTATAATTGAAATTATTTTTAATACTGTTTTCTCTAAAATTACATTTTTGAAATTGATCTTTTTAGTACCTCATTCTTTCCTAATGTTTCAAAAATCTATTCTAGTTTAATTTCTGAACCTAGCACCCCTACCTTCCTCACACCTGTTTCTTATCTCCCTTTATTTATTAACTTATCATCTTATCAAGTTTGTTGCTCTTACATTGGTTAAGGCACTTTTTTTCTTCATATTTCGATATGTTTGTCCCCTTACTCTGTCTTGTCATTTTTGTGTTTCAACACTGCGTAAGATTCTTATTTAGAAAACCAAAAAGATATCTATCCATTTTTATGTAGCTATTTATAAATTCTACTTTAGTAGTGTTGTTTTGCTTTATTTATAAAAGCCTTACTTTCTTGAAACAAATTTCAGCCATAAGTTCTGGAACCCCACAAATCAATTCGTTAGAATCAGTGTATATAAATGAATAAAAAATTGTACATTTAAAAAAAATATCATAAGTTTATTCATATTATTATTTCATGAATTCAAACAATTATTTAGAATAATTTTTAACATAATTCAATGGTTTATTCAATATAATTTCCATGATTTTGTAGATCAAAATTTAAATTTATTTTAAGAACATATATTTGAAAAAAGTTATTCCATAATTGTTTTAATTTCTAAAAATTAACATTTATTTTTTGAAACATTAAATCTGCCCACAATTTTGTAAGTTTGCATGACAAGAAATTAGTCAGCTCTATAGAAATCATTAAAAGCTTAACTTAATATCATTATAACTGCTTTTTAACTTGATAACCACATAGATACAATTAGGAAGTAAGACCCCAAGTTTTGCAAGTAAGTAATATCCAGTTGAAGCAACTTTCTGTGGATTTGATGTAGGAGATGCTGATTTCAGAATTTGGCTCGTTGTTCCAACATGTCCTGCAAAATTATGCAATTTAAATCAAGCGATTTTCAGGGCTGATTGTGCTCCGGAAAAAATCCGGATTTCCGGATTTTTCGCTAGCAGTGATCCGGAAGTTTCCGGAGATCGAAGGTCCAGACGTTTAAAAAAATCATTGATCGCAGAAGTTTCCGAAAAATGAAATTTTCAAAGGTGGAACTTAAAAACACAAGTTATTTGTTTGTAAGGGAGAGCCAGATACTTTATAAGCTTATATTCATGATTAATATTCATTTTTTATCAGTAAATAGTTGTTATAATCATTAACTCAAGAAAGAAAGACATATTTGTAAATTTTAATTACTTCTCCTGGTCATCATAGGTATATGTAAATGGTATAGGTATGTGTAAAATTTTAAATATATTTTAAGTANTTTTTTTTTTTTTTTTTTTTTTTTTTTTTTTTTTTTTTTTTTTTTTTTTTTTTTTTTTTTTTAACTCAAGAAATTTTCCGGAATTTTGACTTGGGCTCACAATCACCCCTGGATTTTCCTGGCTAATAGAATGTGTGAGTGTTTATAAAACCAGTTACATGTTCTTCTGGCCTGATGAAATTTTTTTGTTGTCATTTAAAAATAGTAATATGAACAACATTATTAAGATTTTGCATGAAAGACACCTAATCACCCTAAAATAAACAAGCTGATCCATGTTAATGGTTACCTCAGTTAGTTGACCCTATGCATAGTAAGAAATGCAAACCCTGAGCATCAACCTCATTGCTATAAAATGATGCATTTCATGATTTTACTTAAGGTGACAAGTTTTTTAACCTATAGTTTTATTGTATACACCTGAAGGGCATATTTGCAATCAATTCTAGCCTCTTCGAAAATTGTTAGATTGTAACCTAAAGACTTATTTGAAATTTAATGTTGCTGTGTATTCTTGAATATTTATATCTGTTTTATTTTGAATATTAAAATTTGTGTTTCTTTTTTATAACTTAATCAGTAATTGATGTATACCGGGTGCGTTCTGAAAGTAATGCGCATTTTCTGGGAATGATAGATTTATTGATCCTATGGGTACAAATGGTTAAAATTCTTCAAAATAGTTACCTTGTGCATCAATACACTTGCGAAGACGATTCTGCCATGTCTGGAAGGCACCCAGGAATGCCTCTCAGTAACCTTGTAACATGAGCTTGGATGTTCTCCACCGGCTCCCAGTGCTTTCCCTTCAGCTCTCTTTTTAGTCGGGGGAACAAAAAGAAGTCACATGGTGCCAAGTCGGGGCACCAAGGGATCTTACTTTGGGTCAGGTAGTTGATGACCATAAAGGCCCTGTGGCTAGGGGCATTGCGTGGTGGAGCTTGATAGCGTCTTTGATATCAGGCCTGACGCGCGTGACCCGGTGTTTCAGTCTCTTGAGCATCTCCAGGTAAAATCTCCGTTGACAAATTGTCCTTGCGGAACAAACTCAAAATTTATGATTCCTCGGATGTCAAAGAAGACAATCAGCATTGTTTTGATGTGAGATTTGCTCATGCACGCTTTTTTGGGTTGGGAGAAGATTGGGTGCTCCACTCGGAGCTCTGCCTTTTGGATTCTGGATCGTACTTGAACATCCAGGATTCGTCCCCAGTTACACAAGAGTTTAAAAAGCCTGGATCATTTCTCATCAATTCCAACAATTCTTCACTGCGCAAAACTAGAACTTCTTTTTGCTCCTCCGTCAACACCTTCGGCACAAGCTTCGCACAGACCTTTTACATTTGCAAATCCTCCACCACAATCCCATGTACCACACATTTTGACAAGTTCAGGGTTTTAGCGATTGGCTGAATGCTTAAACAACGATCTGACTTTAAAACCTCACGCACATTCCGGGCGTTTTCATCGGTTCGGCCTGTTGTTGGGCGTCCAGAGCCAGGCTCGTCGGTGACCTTCTCCCGACCCTCCTTGAAGGCCTTGTGCCACCTTTCACACTGAGATCTCGATATGCATTCCTTCTTTAAAGGCATCTTGAAGCATGTGATGAGTTTCTGTTGCATTCTTCCGCACACAAAACTTTATCGCATATTGCTGTTCCAGCGAACACTTCATCACGCCGTGACTCGATCGAGAAAAAGACTTTACGCGAAGACACGTCCTACTGCTCGGAGCGACCTGAGACCAGGGGCATTTTGAAGGACAAATCCCCCACCACATTTTTCAACCAATCTGAGTGTGCTGCTATCAATAGTAGCGTCACAATAAAATCATGCGCATTCAGAACGCACCCTGTATAACCTAGTATTTAATAATTTAACTTGAAATAATTGTTTCGAAACTCAACTTATATATTAGCTTGGGAACTGTTTACAGTTTGTGTTTTCTTTTAGAAAAGCTCATTAGAAAATAAATAGTTATTTAAAAAAAATAGAAATTGCCCTGTCTACTGTTGGTAAAGTTTTGAAAAGAATATTTTGAAATCTCATTGATATACCTTACTAATTTAAAATTCTCAGATCAGGTGAGTTTTTTCCCCTCTTTCTTTTGATTGGCAGAATGTCAAGTTTCTAAATATCTTTTAAAAAACTATGCCTTAGAGTTTTTTGTTTTCCTAGGACACTGATATGATAAGCCACCTTTTTAGTGATAAGATTAAGAGTTATATACTGTATTTTAATTAAGAATCGTTTCACAATTTCATCTCCGTGATTTATTTTGAACTTCCGTTAATTGATTGAAAATTAATTTATTGTTTTTAAAATTATGATTGTGTAGATGATTAAATTTTTTATAGTAATATAGATGTGTGTTGATGTTTTCAGTAATTAAGTTTAATGTTTCTAATAATTGAATTTTTTTTTCATAAATTGAATATTGACTGATGGATGAACTTTCATGGTTTTGTTTTTTATGGCATCAAGTTGATGACTATTTTTGACTTTAATTTATTACCGCTAAATGTTTAGTTAAAATTTATAATGTAGATTTGTCATTTATGATTTTTTATTTTAGGTGCTATCTTATTATGCCAGCAATAGTTATACTAGAAATATCAAGAAAGATGTTGAAGAAAATTGTTTTCTGATAATCTATTGATCTGTTTTCTGGTGATTGTCTACTAGCCTTCACAGAGTTATTTCGTATGCTAGGTGTCAAAACAAGGGAATAATATGTTTTTTTTTTTTTTTAATTATTGAAGGTTTTCTATATCTCAAAAGTAATGTAGTGTGATGGATTTGTATATGAAATAATATTATTCATGAATAAATTTAGAGTTTCATCTTTGATATATTATGGTTAATTATTAACTTGCTATGGTTAATTTAATGGAACTGCCCTATTTTCAAAAACCAATATTTATTCCTGTTTATAATTTTTTCTCCTTAAAGTTATGTTAACTATTGAAAAAATGTAATTGTGTTTGTTATCACTACATATTTCTTCAATATTGTAATTATTTGATTTATCATAATTTTGTGTTTACAGTTTATTAAGATATTAATATAAAATTTCCTTATCGCAAAAAACCTTAAAATTTTGTTATTCAACTGTATTGTTAATTGTTTCGGTTTTTAAACTGGAAAGTGTGTGACATTTAATTGTGTATGGAAACTAGTTAGTTATCACTTTTTTTTATTCCAAAAGAAATGATGAATCACTTACAAAAAATCAAATTGAATCAAATTATCAAATTGAAAAAAATCAAATTGAATCAAATGATTTAAGAATAAAAAATCTAAGATTATGTTTATATTCTGATTACACTCAAAATAAAGTTATGGATTTCATACACATACACATTTAATACAATCATTATTTTTACAGACTCTTTCTTTTCCTTGCAACAAAATTTCGGTTTCTTTTTTCATTTCCCCCTGTTTAATTTTTTGAATTATTAACTGCACTCATATCTTTAAAATTTCTAATTATTGTGCTTTTTTGTTTAAGTATTGTACATATTTATCACCTTACTGTGTGTTCAGAAAACTACTGATGACTAGAAAAATATAAAAATATGTAAAAACTAAAACTACATTTCTGTCCCATTCAACCTATTTTTAAATTGATTTTTCAAAACATCTGCCATTTTTGACACATGGCAGTTTTGTCATGTACTCGAAATAATTAATTAATATTAATATTTAATACATTCCAAGGGAAAGTACTTTAAAATGGTTTTATCTTTAAAAGCATTAATTATGTATTGATATATAATTAAATAATTTATCACATATTAAAATATGTATAATTTCTTTTTTAACTTAAATAAAATGCATATGAAAATTTTATTTGATTTTTTAATTGTTGATTGTAAGATTTCAATGTTCAGGAATTGCTTCTGTTTTAGTAATTATTTCAAATTTCTGGATTAATATCTATGCATTATATGATATTGTCTTTTACTAATTTTGAATAAGAAAGTATAACTTTTAAAAAAATAGGTTAAGCATGTTAATTACAGTCATCAGAATTTGCATAATTGTCATTTATGTCTCTAAAAATGTTAGTTTTCTTCTTGTTTTTTGAGTGTTGGATCAAACATTTTTGCAAATATTTGTTTTTTTATTGTAATTCTTTGAAGGGTAAAAAGAAAGGGAATTCATGAATGCTTTTTGAATAAATTTTCTAAACTTATAAATTTTTTATTTTGTAGAGCTATATTATAGTTGCTTTATGAAAAAAATTATTTTCTCCCCTCTGAACTGCATTTTTTCATATTATAAATTTTAATCTGACTGTTATATTTTATTATAGTTTTATAAAGAATAGTCGTTAACTAAAGTGATGGTTAGAATTTTTATTGCATTTTTTGTTTAGGTGGATTGTCATTATTTATTTATTTACATGTTTTTTTCTGCTATATGGAATGTTTTTTAAGTTTTATATATACTTAATATTTTTATCGACATAGTTGCTAATGGAAATTTGTATTGTTTTTGAAAATAATGTTATCCTAGTAGTAGAGTGTGGATATTCTCTTTGTTCTACGTATACATATATACACATACAAATATTTATGGAAATTAAGAATCTTATTTGTGTCTTTTACGCCATGCTGTTAAACCAATAATTCTTATGTTTCGGAAAGTCATGAATTGAATAATCTTTTCTGTTGTTGTTTATTTCTATGTTAGAATTATTTGAAATATTGATAAACAAATTATTATTAAGTAAAAATTTATGATGTATCATGGGTACTATGAAATGGATTGTTTGAAACGATTTAAACAATTATTTGCATTTGTTTGTTACTTATAAACATTAAAAAAATTTAGAGTGCGCTGTAATTGCTCTGTGTCACAAAACTCACCCATTCCTTGTATTTTGTTCTGGATATTTTAATTAAAGGAATAGTTGTAATATTAATAAGGTGTGCCTTGGTAATATAGTATATTTAGGTATTAATTGAATTTTAACTTTATCTTTGATATTTAAAAATTTCTTTATCTGAGTTTAAGTTTTTACACTTTACATCCATTAAAAAAGAAATGATTTTATACTATTTATTTTATGCATCCTTTTATATTCGAAGACTTTTATTTAATAGTTTGTTTATGGTTACTGTTCAAACAGAGTTAAATTAGCTGTTACATTGTGTTGGAATATTTAATAGCATGTAAATATTGTTTTTAATAAATGTTAATGAAGAATCTTTTTTGTTGTTCTTTTTTTAATTATCGAAATATATTTATAAAAGACTCACAAAAACAAGGTATCTTAATTTTTAGATATGCAAAAATCTGTTCAATTTAAAGGGAAATTAGTAGATGTATTTTTGTACTCTGACTGTTTATATATGGCCATGTCTTATTAGCTCCCTATTATGTCCTATCTTCATATTTCACATTGTTAAAGAGCTAAATTACCTCATTGCTAAATATTTTTTCTAATTAGGGAACTATGCGTCACGAACTAGCAAATTACCAGGAAATGTTAGTGTGATGATGGTTTCAGCAAGCATAAATTTGACTTACTGTAAAATGATTCTGCTCTGACTCTGATGTAAAAAATTATGTTCAATACTTAGTCGTGAACATGATAGGAAGCTGGCATGACATTGGCCTAGAATAGTTGCTGCCACCAAGAAATATAGCAATTATTTTAAAGCATTTTACTTTCACAAATGTTTAAACATGTAGCGTTAAAACTTTTACTAACTTTTAATTTTTAAAATGATATATATGTTTCAGAAAGAAGAAGAATTTTTTATTTTTTAAAAAAATATGCGACCTAAATTTTTGAATTGAGCCTGCATTGATTAATTAATTAACAATCATATTTCTTTCATTTTCAAACAATTCTCAAAATAAATAAATAAGAATATTTTTGTTATTGTAAGCAATAGAAAATAATAATTCTCACAAATGAAACAGCGTATCAGAAGTTTTTTATTTTCAATGAGCTGCACAATCAGTCTTCCCAATGAGCCGACCTAGTGCGTTCTCCAGAAGTTGGTATCCACTCTTTCAGGACCACCATCAGAAGTACAATTCCATGTTTGATTCCATTAAATGTATCACTTACATCGTCAACTGTCGATAAACATTGTTTTTGATAAAAGTCAAAGCTCATTTATCATTTTCTTAGGAAAATAATTGCATATGCTTTTGGGATTAATTTGTTGTTGTTGTTAATTTACGTCGCACTAGATCTGCACAATGGGCTATTGGCGACGGTCTGGGAAACATCCCGGAGGATGATCCGAAGACATGCCATCACAATTTTGATCCTCTGCGGAGGGGATGGCACCCCCGCTTCGGTAGCCCGACGACCTGCGCGCGAAGTCGAGCACTTTACGGTAGCACAGTTTAACGAGGACCAATACCGCACACCCTCGGTCCCTACGCAGACTGATCCAAGTGGTCACCCACCCGCACACTGACCGTAGCCAGTGATGCTTGACTTCGGTGATCTGCTGGGAACCGTGTCTTAACGATCAGTCCACTGCGGGACGCTGGGATTAATTTAAAATGCCTTTTCTGAGCTAAAGGGAATTAGTGCTCCTAAAATCTGCTGTGACATTTTACTAGCAACAATATAGGCAGTTTCTTCAGAAGTGTGTGGACAACTGAAGCGAACTCTTTAATCGATTACGCTTGAAAACAGTAATGTAATATCGGGTTTAAACATAACTTGGCAAACTTTATTAAATTGAAAGAAAAATTTTTAACCATGCTTATTCATAAAAATTTAAATCCATATTTTTTAATTCTTTTTTATGTAAGTGGAAGTTATTATTTTGTAGATGTTTATTATTTCCAACTAAAATATTAACATTTTGTAAATGTAAAAAAATTTAAATTATAATGGCTTAAAATTTTATTTGTATATATATTGTATATATATATTTTTGAAAATCATGCTTTTTATGTAATCTTTTATTTTATTTTATATTACGTTGTGTTTCATCATTTAAACTTATTTAATGAGAGGTAAAAATTAAAAGAATAAATTTATGATGAAAAAAATTACGCTTATTTGATCTGAATTTCCATTTTGGAAACTAAAATGTATGCGTGCAATTATAATTTCATTTTGAATTTCTAACATATGCGTGTTATTTTATTTTAGGGTAAATGAGGTGAGTGTTCTGAGATGAACTTCACAAGCCATTCCGAGGATTTAGGGTTAGTGAGCGATAGCTAGCAGGCTTTTGAATTATTCCGTTAGAGTTGAAAATTTTTTGTTGCACTGCGTAATTTAGAGAAAACTATTTGCAGGGAATTGTGATTTTTTTTTGTTGCAGTTACAACGTTTGAAGATGATCAAGAAGTATTTTTAGTTTATATTTCTAATTTATATGAAGTAATTAGATCATTAAATAGGTTTTTCTTAAGAACTAGCCTCAATCTCCTGAAATGTTTTGATTTTTTTTTTTGCCGCTCAATCGATAATGTTCCTCATCATTGGCTAATCCAGCGGTTTCCAAATGAGGTTCTGTGGCACTCTAAAGGTCTGGTTTCTTAGGACAAGCGCCTTATCTGGGCGTCAGCGGGACGTCAACGTCCCGCTGACGCCAACAAAATACTGGTTTGTTAGCTCAAGGCCTGGTTTCTTAGAACTAGCGCCTTATCTGGGCGTCAGCGGAAAGTTGACGTAGAGCTGACGCCAAAAAAATACTTTTTTGTTAGCTCAGCGTGAGCAGTCGGTCCAACGCAGACATTATCTCTCATTGCGCATGCGTTAATAACGTAAACAAATATTTATTTTGAATTTGTATTGATTTTGTTATTGTCGACCAGTGTTTTAGAGAACAAATAATGACTTTGTCCAAGAAAAAACACATTATAGCTGAGCTAAATGAAGAGTGCTATGTTTAATGAAGAAGCTATGTTTAATGTCAAAATCAAAATCTTGGCTGATTTCAATGTGCTGTTGGATGTTGTCCGCCATTGCTTCTGTGGTTAACGTCACGTTGTAATCCAACTGCAGTTGAGTTGGACGGCAATTGTAGTTCAAGATGAGCGTTCGATGACGTATACTATCAAACTCACAAATGGACCAATCAGAGGTTAACGCTGATTTCCAGCTGACGGCGTCCTGTCCTAAGAAACCAGGCCTTAAGGCTCCCTGGAAAAGTTAAAGGGATTTCGCGAGTTAGTAAATTTTATAAGTTTCGATGAGTTCTTAATTTCTCAGATTATATATAGGTCCAACCTATAATTCATGATTTATTTAATCTTTTGGTTATCTTTATGAAATTATTTCACGTAAAATGCCAAAGAAATAGAAATGGCATTTTAAAAAGAAAATATAATATTTCAAAAAACAATATATTGAACACATTATGAAAAGATAACAAGCATTTGTGAAATATTGCATTAGTATTCCCCATTACGCTTTTCAAATCAAAATAAATTAACTAATATCTTTTTACGTCTCTCTGATAACCAATTTCAACGTTTATAGCAGTTCTTTTAAGTTTTCATTTTGAAGTGAACCAAGATTTGCCTTATTTAATTCAGTTTATGCAAATACACCAAAAACAAATTCATGACTAGATTAGAGCACAGGGACTGTAAATTCAACTGACAGACATTAAACAGAATCTAAGATCAAATCAAACAATTGGAAAAAAAAACGTTCACAATCACCTTAGTAAGTTTTTATAAAGTCGGAATTTCACCGAAAGAAGGTTGATTATTTAAGGTTTCTTAGCAGAAAAAGATTGAGAACCGCTGTGTTAAGACAGTTGATAAGAGCAATCAAATCTATCTGAAAAGAACTGAGCTGGAAAGTCCGAGGAATGGTGGACGATAATAAACAGAGAGCGTAGCCTTTGAAGTTATAAAATTAAAATATAAAAGATATGAAGGTATGAAAACTGGGGTATTAACACATTGAATGCCATGGGGGTCACCGGTGACCGGCGAAGCCAAGATTATTAGAAGCACATAATTCGAGTAAATTTTTAATGCTTTTAATTTTTTTAATATTATTATCGTTACTAAAATGGTTTGAAGAAATTAATGCAATATAGAACACAAAAATAGTTTTATTTATATACACAGAGATGCCAACTTGCTTCGGACAGCGAATGAATATTTTCAAGTGGTAGTTCATTAATTGTGATTCTTGGTTTAATAAATTCAATTGAGTAGATTTTTATCCTCCACTATTTCTAAAAAATTCGTAGGGTTATATAATTCACCACTTTTTTTCAGATATGTCATTCTAAACCTTTTAAAAAACTAGCAAAATCTGTCTAATATCTGCAAATTTAGTTTTGTAGTTATTTGCCGTTTGGCCAGACGGGCAAGACATGTAAAATTAGCGTGGCATTCAACGTATTAAATGAGAAGGGGTCGAAAGAAGGAAAAAAAAAACAGAGTGAGTGAATGCGAACTTATTTAAAACTGCTGCGTCAACAGTTGACGCAGCCGTAGCTGAATATTAGTAGGGCTGAATAAAGGAGGCGGAGTTATCCTATTTCTTCATACAATATATCACTTATTCCAAATATTTTCATGGAACGGCGATGGCGCAGCGGATAGAGCATTCGCCTTCCAATGAGACAAACCGGGTTCGAATTCCAGTCGATACGAATTCCGCATCCGGCTTTCATCAACCACAGTGCTGACGTGAAATATCCTCAGTGGTGGACGGATCATGGGTTAGAATCCCTTTGCCGTTAGACTAACCGTGGGAGGTTCTCGTGGTTTTCCTCTCTATGTAAGGCAAATGCGGGTTAGCTCCATCAAAAAAGTCCTCCACGAAGGCAAAATTTCTCCCAATACTCCAATAGGAGTTCCCTTGTCTTCTGAATTGGGTTCAAAATTACAAGGCTACGAAGTTGAACATTAGTAGTCGTAAACCCATAAGATTGGGTCGGCAGTTCAACGACTGTTATAAAAATTTAAATATTTTCCTGATAAAAAGTTGAATTTTCTTTCAAGATAGTGTTATAATTTAGCACCAGTTATACATTTTGAATGTGCCAAGTTGTTGATAGGAAACTCACTTTAACTAAATGCTTAGGTTTGTTGTGGGACTGCGACAAATTACTAATGTATCAGCCTAATAAGCAAGATATTTAGCTTGTTTCAATGAAATTGAAGGTTGTCCCCAAAGTAAGATCTCACACTTCCTACAGAGTTTGGTTACTTAATTACTGTTATAAATATTCATTTTTAACAATATTTTCTTTTAAAA